TCTTCAGCTGCCCATCAGCCCCACAAGCTCCAGCCCAGCCTGAGCATTTTCAGATACTGCGCATGGATTTACGTAAATTGGATGAGGTCAGAAAAGTCATTTAAAAGTAAGCACAATTTAGTTTAAAAGGGCAAGTGAAGTTACAAGAGATACACAGGATTGAGGAAAATTAAAATTACGTAAAGCTCTGTAGAGCCTTATGTCTCTATAGATGCATCTCATATCCATGGGCCATCACTGCAAAAATTACAAGTTAATAAAGACAGCAAAATTGTGAAAATTTCATTCACTTTAGTATTTACTGTATTGCTAACGCTGGGCAAATGTAATTCTAGGAGTCAGAAGAAAATTCCGAAGTTGAAGGTGCACTTAAAATGCCTATGCTTACTTCTACTATGAATCTAAGTTGCTTTCAACTTAATAAAATCCAGCATTGGTTAAATGCATCCTTTCCATTTTTCACCTGTTCTCACCCTTAATTCCCATTGTCTCATGTTCTCCTCAAGGCTGCAAATCACCAAAACATGACATCACATATTTTTTTCCATTACACAAAATGCTCACAGCCACCACACAGTGACCTCAGGATGGACAGAGGATATCTGTCAGACTGCCCCGGTGTCTGACATCCCTGAGCATCTTCCTCCTGCTCTCCTTATCAGGTTTTTTTTTTGCCATGGCTTCCCCTCTTTGAGCCTTGGAAGCCTCAGCCCTAAATCCTCTGCTTCTGAGGTTCTTAAAAAGGAGTTTTCTCACTCTCATGACTTAAAGAAGTACTTTTTAACCAGCCGTTTCTTTTCTTGTTGTATTGGAGTGCTGAACTGCTACCCCATCATCCATAAACTGGCACCCAATGTTTGAAAACTTTTAGAATCACAGAATCACTCAGGATGGAAAAGACCTTAAAGATCATCGAGTCCAATGAGGTCAATGATTGTTACAATTATTTATTAATTTCAACATAAAGCAAGGGAAAAGAGACCTGTATTGATCTTAATACTGTAAATATTCTTTCTTATTTTAGTAATTTTTACGTACTGAAAAACTACTTGGCTAAATTGCATGAGAGAGAAAAATTTAGGATATACTGCACATAGTAATGGGATATACTGCACACAGTATTTAGGGTAAGCAATGCAGCTTTTAAAAAATACTTTTTAACATAAGCACTCAGGACATGTTGGATCTGATGTCTCAGAAGTCAATTGAAGCAACAGCCCCACTGTCATCAGAAAACTTGCTTCTCATTTGAGCTTTTCAACCACAGAAAGGAAGAAAACACTTTGGTCTTGGCTAAGTCACAGACAGAACGCAGAATATTTGCTTTTTTTTATCTTAATTTTTTATCTGAATTTGGTGCATTTTTTTCCCTAATAGCTTATGATGTGCAAAAGCAGAGAAACGAAGAAGTGGCAGCAAGGTGAAGGAGCGAGATGCTGTCAATAGGAGGGTTTTCTGTCTGGGTTCTTACTGAAGGAGAGATCCCCTCCAAGCACAGAAGACCAGCCATAGCAGTGTGATTCTCTCCTATCGGCTGGAGGACGAAGTCCCATCCCACAGAGGTGTCCCAAAGCTCGGATAGCGCTCCATTCCTACAGCTGGGAAGCAGCATTTCACAGTGTGCTTTGCCGCCCTTAGTGGTGCCTGCGCCAGCCCCGCTGTCTGCCGTGCTGTGGTTCTTCTCTCTGAGCGAGGAGGCTCCCAGGAAATCACAGGGTAATTATTGATTACAGGCCTGGGCACGGCGCGAAGTCATCTTGAAGGGGGAATGGAGGCACTGCCGCTGTCTTTGAAGACTCTGCTCCCATTATGTATGAGGTGTTTCATCAATATCCCTTCTTGGATGAATAACATGCATTATACACGGGGAATTTCAGCTGCTAAGCTGGCTTGCAAAACTCACTTCCCTGGCCTCCATCCTCAAATTGCTCCTGCTCTGGCTTTCTGCACTGCTTTTTCTGCCCTCGGTTGCAGGCAGAGGGCCAAAGTCCTCCCTTGCATGGACATGGAAACATGCAGCTTATATGTAAGCAGGTGCACAAGCTGGACAGCCAGAAAATGCCTCTACCTCATACCTGCAACACAGGGACAGAACCACAGCTCTGCAAAGCAAAAGGAGCTCGTCCAGCAGTGAGGGCAGCTGGGCACGGCGTGGCATGCAAAGAGCAGAGCCCCAGGGCTGCTGCTTGTCACAGGGCAAAGGAAAACTCTTGTGTGTGTCCAATTTCCTCTGCTCTTGTTGCTCTAATAAGCCATCTGGTCTGCAAACACAGCGCTGCTCCCTGCTGCAGTACCCAGTGCTGCGATGCTCGCCGTGGTCTTGAGCAGCAGGTTTGTAAGGCACAAATAAGGAAAAGCCAGGAAATTCATGATTGGCCAATTTAGCATTTCCTTTACCATTTCACGAACTCACAAATCAAACAACTCATGCGTAGGCTTCAAAACAGTAACAAGGTCTATTGTTCTTCATCATACACAGCGGGGACTAATGACCATGGTACATTAAGAACAATTAATCACTCTCCACGATAAACGTGCAGAGATTTGCCCGAGGTGTAACACCTTGAAGTCACTATGCAGAGAAGTGGGAAATACTTCCTTTTTCCTAGGTTGCTGAAATTCGACATTGAGCACCAGACCAACTGTTGGAAATTCCAGTTTTCAATTAGATTTAATAAAAAAACAACAACGACAACAAAAAAAAAAAACCCACACTGCCAACGGGAAAAGAACCAGCTGCATTTGCTGGGAGCAGCCAGCTGGTACACCAACAGCTCCTGCACGTGTGGAAGAGGCAGCCCTCAGCTGCCAGGCTGTGCTGCAGCACTGGCGTTTCAGAGTCAAACTTAGCTCTGATGGCTTACAAGGAAAAATGTTTCCTTCTGTGTTTGGAGTGCTCGTACATACCTTTCCCCTTTTTAAAGAGTTGAAGGTGCTTTGGAAAAGTGAGGAAACGAGATGAGCATCTGGAGCCATGTCAGAATTCAGGCTGCTGGGGCGGCAGTAATGCATATGTGCATGATAGCTGAGTTATGGCAGCATGGCGACCACACTGCTCTGTGTCTGCAGCACAGTGACCACGGGAAGGGGCTCACAGGAAGAAAAACACACTGTGGGATTGTTGCTTTGGCCAACAACCACCTGCAGGAGTGCCCCTGGACTTTCTGAATTCACCAATCTCTCTTCTGCTACCACAAAGTTAATTGTTAACGTATTTATCGTTAGGAACCATGCCTTAATACTCGGCACAAAAGTAACTGCAGGAAAACGATCACTTATTGCAAAGTGCTTCATCCTGAAAGCACTTCATATTTTTGAGAGTCCTCTTGTAAACATGCTCAGCTGTAAGAAAAGCAAAACTCCTACTGTCCTCAGATGACACTGCCACAGAAAAAAACAATAACGTTTGACTAGAGCACCGACTAAGAAAGAAAATAGCCAAGCATCAGTCCTGATCACAAAGGCACTGCTGATGGAACTCGTGTCACCCAGGGTCACAGCACGGCACTGCAGGAGGCCACAGCCACAGGTTATGATGGCTGGTGTGAGAGCTGTGGATGGGCAGAGATGCATGAGGAGAGAAGCCTTCCTGGTGGCGGGTCCTCATGCTCACGCTTATGTTTATTCTGCATTTTTAAGTGCCTGGAGAAATGAATAGGCACTTTCAAATGTAAATGTGAAAAAGTAAATAAATACCAAATCCTTAACTTAGCAGTACTGCAACTCTCACTTGCAGACAAATTGAAATGTGCAATTTAAACCGTGATGATGCAGCTTTTACCCCATGTTTCTCATAACTACCTTTACAAACAGCTTCTACAATTTTTGACACGTATTGCCATATTCCTTCCTACATCATTTTCATCTATTATATGAAAGTAAGAAAAAGCAAGAAGGAACACCCAAACATTACAAATACTCACAGGAGACAGTGCAATACTCAAAACATTAAAGGCACTCAGCCCATAGCTTGTGAATTCAAGTCCAAAAGATGTTGCATTGAGTGATTTTCTTAATGTGAAATAATTCGTACAGAAGTTCACCATTAAAATAAAGGTACTCTGCAGATTTCACACAATTTATGACTCGCACCCTTAGAAAACAAGTCTGATGATCTGCATAACAACAGAACAACTGCATTTCGGTTTTGTTCTGCTCCTTGCAGCTGCCATCAGATATTTAAGAATGAGAAAGTGCAGCAGCAAGAAGCAACCTATTATTTATAAGAATTTGAATAAAACCAGCAATTAGCAGCAGACACAGCTGAGTTTTGCAAATCTGTGCCTGTAAGAACAGCTGCTCCTTTCCACACGTAAAATTGGCAATCTTTTACTGACATATTTCTACTACAATTTCAAGTACAAACCTATGCACCCATATGTACAAAGCAATTTCACACAGAACCACACAAAAGAAGAGTACCTATAACTTGGGGTTCATGTATAAAACAGCTATCTTACCTTTGGTAGCACAGGAGATATGAGCCCCTCTTTGGTGCTGTGTTATTATAAAATCAGTTCAATTAAAGAAGAGATGTTAGAAAATGAGCATTGAAATCACTGGGAAATGATTCCATTCATGGATCAACAAGCAGCCATTGCAAAAAGCAGACTTCTGTTTTTATCATTTTTGCTTTTTTTCCACTTTTGTTTTGATGTTTTTAATCCTGTAGCCTATCTCATTTCATGCGATTTACTTGTTATGAGGCTTTCAGGAAAACACATCAGTGAATGGCAGATGCTAAAGAGGAGTTTTCTCAGGTCATGTTTCCCTCTAAATACAGCATCCTAACTACTTTGTAACAGCGCTAGTTTGTCGTCTGGGCGTGTCTGAATTGGATAACACAGGTATCAGAGCTGTGGCACAGAGCTGTGGGTGCCCATGCCCATGGATGCATCGCTGGAGGCAGCCAGCCTGCATCAACGGGGGGCTGTGGGCTGCGTGTGTGCTCCCAGTCCAACCCTCTGTGATTCTACAGCTACCACGAACCGGGCACCGACCTCGCTGCAGCATGGGGTGGTGGAAGGGTGGCAGGGGCAGCTGCTGTGTCCTGCTGGGTTCACAGAAGTAGGCGCTCAGCCAGGCTGCGCACTGCTGCAGTGGCTCCGGCACAGAGGTCACACCGCCACTCAGCTCACAGCGCATCAGAGCCTCCGTCCTGTGGGCACAGAGATGTCAGGCTGTCAATGACGAAAGCAAACATTCATACTCTTTATGATCTCAAAAAACATTCAATTCCAAGGCCACAGACTCCAAAGCTTTCTTTTCCTCTGATGAAAGCAAGGAGAGTCGTAAGAGCTGTGACACAACTTCATCTACGTCACCTCTTGATATGCCATGGTGACGTGAGGTTGTTCAGACCTGTCAGAAGAAAATAAAGGATGGGTGAGAAGACCACTCTTAAATAGGAAAGCTCAGGGAGCAATGGAAGGAAACCACCCCGGCCTGATGGAAGACACATCCTGGGTCTCTGTGGGGATGGAGAGAGGCTCCTCTAGGCACCCACAGGCACAGCACAGCCCCCAGAGCTCTCCCGGGGAAGGAAGAGGAGGAAGCAGCTTTCTGCAGAGCCAGCGCTTTCCTCTTCCGCCACTCCTTCCAGCGACGTTGGCAGGTTTCTGCTTTCCTCCTCTTATTGAATTGGAAGGAAGCAATTGAGAACTCATTTGATTTTCAATGGCAGCTCATGCTTTCAGGATGCTGAAGAGCAAAGCAAACGAACAGAAAGCACCCGCAAATGAAAATGTCCTTTTTCTCTAGCTGCTTTTTTCTTTTTCCTACAGAAGTGCAATGCCCGTATGAGAGCAGTGAGAACATGAACATCACATCTGCAAATATTCAGCCCTGTTCCTTGAGCTGTAAGCTCTGGGTTAGGCACAGCAGTGGCAGGGAGAAGTTCACAGTGCTCTCCTGTTGCTCCATGAGACCACTCAGAACCACAGAGACTGCTTTCAGCACATCTGTTACCAAATAGCCCAGTAACATGAAACCACCAGGAAAGGAATATGGAGACAACACCAAGAACAGCTGCCAGACAAGCAAGCCCTGCCAGCAACCTCATACCTGAATCTGAAAAACCTCAGCTACACCATCCCGATGCATCCTGATACTGCAGCTTTTCTTTTCCCCCATCTGGAAATACAAGCCCAGAACAAGTTCTCAGCTGTGCGCTGGTGAAACTCAACAGAACAGTCTGCTGCAATAGGTTGGATGTGTCACAAAGGGGTAGAAAGGAGAGAAAACCAAATTTGGTAGAAATACCAAAAAAACATGAGGGACAGCAGAAGAAAACCACAGCAATTCTGCCATAGAGTTGTGGGGAAAAAGTAAAATCAGTTCATTGCTATGCTTGAGATGTGCTGCAATGGAGAGGAAATATTTTGTCAGTTACCTCCTAGCAGAAATCCTGAGCAAATGAACTGCATCGTGTACCAGTAATGGTATAAAAGACACCAGGCTCACTTTTGCCACAAGGCACCTTTACAAAAAGACCCAATGCCTTCAAATGCTTGATCCACAAATGCTGATGGAGCCGAACACACCAGGACAGCTGTGTAATCAGGCAGCCACCCGGCCCTGCCTCCGGATAGGACAAATGATGTGCAGGCAGGAGCTGTCCCGGGGTTACTCTCAGAAGCAGAACTCTCGCTCGTCTGGTGCGTGATCAAACGGCCCTGCAATTTCCCCCAGCCCCAATTCATTTTCTGATTAATTGTTCGCCACACTGAAGGCCACATAATTACTGATTAGAAAGTGGCAGAGAAGAAGGGGGACAGAGAGGCGGACAATTAAAATTCTCCAGCAGCAGAAGAATATGACGAGTTGGTGGCTTGGAGTGGAAGAAAAAGGGAAAAGAAGAACCAGCTTTGGATCCAGCTTGCTAGAAATTAGGTGCAGTCCTCTATCTCTTTCCATTTAGTTACCAAACTACTGAGAGCTTGTGGGTTTTTTTTTTGGAGGAGGAGGAAGAGGAGAAAGGGAGAAACTATTATCAATTTGCTTTATGAAACCAATCTCTATTTTATGTTTTTTTTGCTATTTAATAATCCTTTTATTAAAAAGAAAAAAAAATGGTTTGAGAATCACAGAATCATAGAATCACAGAATCACAGAATGGCCTGGGTTGAAAAGGAGCAGTTTCAACCCCCCTGCTATGTGCAGGGTCACCAATCAGCAGACCAGGCTGCGCAGTCACATCCAGCCTAGAGAATCTGTGCATAAACACTTCCAGATGAATTTGTGTATGACACAGACCTCAAGCCAAGCTCCCAGCACCAAGGATCATCAGTGATTCTGCACACGCACAACGCTCCACAGAATAGGGCTCAGTTTTACTGTGGATTGTTAGAGCTACGACAATATCATAACTACAGAATATAATAATGCCTTTGAAAACTCCAAGAGAAGTTGGGAGACTTTTCTGCTCCATTTATCCAGAAGAGCATAGAAAGCACTCAGAACTACAGTAACCTTATGGTTTTCACATCATCTTGCTTCACATACTCGGGAGCCTGGAAATGATTTGGGCTATAATACTGCTGTAAAATGAAAGGAATAGATCCCCTCATGGCTCTGCATCAGCAGCCCATGAGCTGCGCCTGCTGTGCCTGCAGCACTACAGCCTGCAGGGCCTGTCCATCCCCTGCTCCAAGCAGGAGCCACCAGCCCCCAGGATGCTCCCATCACTGCCAGACCCCCCTGGGTCATTGCCTTGGGGCCATACTCCCATCGCTCTGCCATTTCCACATCTCTGATCTCCGCTTACTGCCACAGTCATGAAAACCAAAGCTCTTGTCAGACCCCATCTAGAATACTGCGTCAAGGCCTGGGGCTCCCAGCACAGGAAGGATGTGAAGCTCTTGGAGTGGGTCCAGAGGACAGCCACTGAGATGATCAGAGGGCTGGAGCACCTCTCCTATGAAGAAAGGTTGAGGGAATAGGGCTTTAGCTTGGAGAATAGAAGGCTCTAGGGAGACCTCATTGTGGCCTTCCAGTACTTCAAGGGAGCTGATAAACAGGAGGGGGAACGGCTGCTTATGAGGGTGGATAGTGATAGGACAAAGGAGAATGGTTTTAAAGCGAGACAGGGAGGTTTAGGTTGGATATGAGGAGGAAGTTTTTCAGCCAGAGGGTGGTGAGGCACTGGAACAGGTTGCCCAAGGAGGCTGTGGATGCCCCATCCCTGCAGGCATTCAAGGCCAGGCTGGATGTGGCTCTGGGCAGCCTGGTCTGCTGGTTGGTGACCTGCACATAGCAGGGGGTTGGAACTGGATGAGCACTGTGCTCCTTTTCAACCCAGGCCATTCTATGATTCTCTGCAAGAAGAGTTGGTGCTTTCTAAGAATGCATTAATTGCCTTTCCTGTAGGATACGAAGTCAATTCACCAACATACTGAGAGGTTCACACTTGCAGAAGCATAACAAAACTTCATCTTAATTTTGCTTGGTTAGAAATGCTAACAAACTTTCCTGGGAATTGGACAACATTAGCAAAGAAAAAGACAGAACATCACTAATGCAAAGGCATCTCCTACTGGCCCTCCTCCCCTCCTGCTCCTCCCTATCCTTCTCCTGCAGTTGCATGGCAGTATTCTTTCTGCAAACTACCTCGTCATTAAAAATTCAACTTAAAACACCAGCTGCCTCTAAAAGCCTTTTCTGAGGCTTCAAAGTCACACTTTGGTCCGACTAAACCACATGTACATTTCAAAAAGCAAGGCTAAAGCACTCTCAAAACATTCATGAGAAGAAAAGGAGAGCAGATTAGGTTATAGGAAACCGTTCCCCCTCTGTTCAGCATTCAGCTTTCTTCTCAATGCCCCATTCCACACATTAATCATTACTGGCTGCTGCTGGGTGCTACCCAGAGTCTCACAATGTCCCCATTTCTCCTGCATTTACCTGGTCACTAAGTAATTAATGCTTTTTTAAAGCTGGCTGTTTCCATGCAGCTGATGAGATCTGCCCTGCGAGGTTCCTGTCCCAGCCATTCCCTTTCCATGGTGTATGAGTTTGCATGTGATGAAGTAAAGGAAAACACAGCTTTAGCAAATGGGGAGAAACTCAGTAATATCACCTGTTTTACTTTAGCAGACTCCTTCCAAACCGTTTGCCAAGACTTGGAAGTTCCTAACGTGCTTCCAAACTGATCATGTAAGCGGCAAATTGGCTTCAGTAGTGTTCTCAATAGCTTATCTGTCAGGAAAACCAGAGCAATGCTGTATCTCATGCTGAAGAACCTCAGTGGGCAGCCACCTCCTACACTGCTGGGATTCTAATTATTCCTTTTATTTCTGAGCAGCTTTTTGCCTTCGTCAGCTCTTAGTAACACGTAACTGAAACATTACAAGACGTACTTTGAGTCGTGTGATTTAGAATAAAGAGAATATATCATAATGGCTCTGCTGGCAGTTTCCTGAAGGGAAAGCTAGGAAAATGCTATGACAGTGTTGTATCAGCACCTGCTACATATGCATATATTTATTTGTGTATCTATATAAATAGAAGTTATGTACATATCCGATATAATTGCTGGGTTGAACACAGGAGACGAGTGAGCTCTGTAGGCTCCTACACCTGAATGCTTTATCCATCGATGCCCACCTCACCCTCTAGTGGTTTGCCTAAGAAGTCTATGAAGTGCTACAGATGCTGAGCTAATGAAGATCCCCCTTTATTTCAATTCATTTTAAATACAAAATAAAAAAGCTCCCCAACTAACACAGAAATTGCAGCTCCCTGTGCAGATAGAATGAACTCAGCAAAGGGCCACTGGCACAGACGGGCAGACTCGGGTAATTGCATTATTATATTACTATAACTACAACACTTCCACTCAGATAACAGCAGGGATAAAGACCTAAAATAAACAGAAAATAAGAAATGGAAAAAAGGCAGGGAGTGCCTGGTTTTTACCCAATCTCTTATAACAGAAATCGGGGTACAGTAAAATCTAAATGTCTTGGTCCTAATTACGAGGGTTTGGCTCTAGAAATCTGTGAGCACACATATAAGGCAGCGCAACACTCAGCATCCCCAGTCTGAAGAGGAGCTGCAGGCTGATGTAAATAGGAAGGATTACTGTCAATGGGACATGTGTATTCTCACACTGCACATCACAGGATTTCTTAGAGGCTTTTGCATTACAAAGGTCCAAAA